CATTCATCTGCCATTTGAGAGAGACCTGCATGCGCCATTGCATTTGCCTAGGCAGTCGGAACAAGACCGTGTTTTCTCGCTCGCTCACGCTGCCTCATTTCCTGGATCACCGTTTGCAGTGATTCAGATGAGAATAAATCTCGGCCATTTGGTGTGTCACGAGCTTAGAGGAACTGTATTTGGGACTTGAGTTACGGGAATAACTGCCCATTGTGGGAGCAACCGGGCATCCTGCCAGCACAGACTGGAAAAAAATAAATAATTGAAAGCAATTGCGCTTGGCCTGAGGGTGAAGCGGGCCCTGCCCCACCAACCTTACCCTGCCCTCAACCAACCCTCACCCACCTGTCTGGTTACTTATAGGTCGACTGGGGTGTGGCACTGCCTGCCAGCCTGCTCTTCTTTCTCCATTGTTGGAGACAGGGTGATTCTAAATACTATTGGCTGGAAACCTCAGGAAAAGAGGGAATTATTGCCCCCAAGTCCTGCTTGCATGCTCCCCATTGGCACCCGCCTGGCGGTCACAGCGAGAATAGGACACTGGGCTGATCCAGCAGGCTCTTCTGATGTCCTTATGTTTCTCCTCCATAGTCTTGGTGTTGCCCTTGTAGAACTCAGCAGGGAGGAGGCAGCTGGGGACAAAACGAGAATGAGTTGGCTCTGCCTGTCATGGGCTCTGGCGCCATCTATTGGTGGGCTCCATGCCTTCTGCCCTACCAGTCCCAAGGGGCATTAGCCACCATCAGTGCATGGCGCTCATGCCGATAAACCAACATGGGACAGCCACTCTCTTTATAAAACTAGCGTATATCTATGTCACAGGTCAACTTATCAAAAGGTCGTTCTCCCTCCCCAGACAGCAGAGTTCTGCATGAGATCTCTAATAGGAATCACATCCACACTACAGTCATACCTTGGGTTACAGATGCTTCGGGTTGCATGTTTTTGGGTTGCGCACTGCGCCAAACCCGGAAGTACCAGAACAAGTTAATTCTGGGTTTCAGTGCTCGTGCATGTGCAGAAGCGCTAAATCGTGCTTTGCACATGCGCAGAAGCACCGAAACGCAACCCGTGTGTGTGCAGGTGTGGCACTGCTGGTTGCGAATGCTGCGGGTTGCGAACGTGCCTCCTGCACGGATCACGTTCGCAACCTGAGCGTCCACTGTATATACTTTTAAAGCACCAAGGTTCCTGGAAACTGTAGTTTCTTAATGGGGCAGGGAATTACAGCTCTGTGAAGGCTAAGCTACGGTTGCTAGGATTCTTAGGGGAAGCCACATGTTTTAAATGTATGGTGTGGCGATGGCCAAAGTTTCGAACACTATCCTCAAACTAACATTCCCAAGACACTTGGTGTGTGTGGAGGGGTGAACCTTAAGGGTTAAGCTGGTGTCACTAATACTTTGTAGTATGCCAAGTGGTCAGAGTGGTGAACTTTCTTTTAGACCAAGGCTGGGGAACCTCAAGTCTGGGGCCTGAATGTCGGCTCTCCGACAGGCCCTCCGGACTCTCTCCAGACCACACAACTCACTGGCTCTGCTCAACACCCTCCTCAAATGCTTTTGCCTGGCTGGAATGTGTCCTCTTGCCAGCATAGATGGCGAATGTGTGTGTGTATGTGTGTGTGTGTGTTAAAGATAATTTAATGAAGAGTGTAATGCAACAAACAAAGTTATCCTTCCATTGATGTATAATTTTATGGTATTACTAAAAAAAAGGGGGGGGGTGTTATGAGCCATCAAACCCCAGAAATACATTTTTTCCAAAAAGTTTCCACCATTTGGGCCACTACTGTATATAGGGAGCGTGGAAATCTCTGACTTCTTCGTGGCTGCAATGCAGCTAATTCTACAGCGATAAGGGTAACAATTCCTTATGCCTGTGTTAGATCCTTCTAACCTACCCCTTAAAGACCTACAATTCCCAGGGTACTTTGGGGAAATTCGTTCATTAACCCCATTTAAGTCCATGGTATAGATATTCCCTCAGTTTTTCCTGAGAAACAGGGTGCAGGATCCCCCCGTTCCCTCCAGCCCATTGCTTCGAATTCAGCTTCCCTCTGCTCCATCCAAACCACAATGCAGTTGGATTTCAGAGCCTCCATAATGGATCCATGTAATTCGCCAGAAAAACTAAACTCTGGAGGTTTAACCGATAAGAGAGAAGACTGGTTTACTGTGTTTAGTTTTCCCCCCAAATGGGGAATTGAGTACTTTCTTGAAGGAAGCACCGCCTCGAGGGAAGTATTCTTTAAAAAACTGTGGTTTAGCTGAACTGCAACTGGTGTCTTTAAGTCTCTCGAACGAAGGATTTTCTTGCTTTCCGGTAAATGTCAGTTGCCATGGAGAAGGCCCCTGGAACAAGCCAAACGTGAAACATTGGCCTGACTGAAGCCATATCAAACAGTTAATTAGAACCGCTTTGCCATATGTTTCCCATTCCCTGGAAGGGTTTGAATCAATTGCCCCATGATTTATCACCTGTTTTCTGTGCTAACGTTTCAGCTCGGGTTTGGTGCACGTGTCGGAAAAGGGATTTGTGCAGCCCGAGAAGGAGAGGGACAGGGCGAAGGGAGGTCTCATCTTCCAAACGATTTTGCTTGCCAGCTCCCCCTGCGACAGAGATTAACCTGGCGTGCGGATGACGGAGCATCTTTGCATTCCGGTGGCATCTTGCCGAAACCTTCACCAACTTGGCTTAAGGCAGGCGGATGTCACCTCTGTCCCTCTGATATTGCCATCACACGGGAGCACTGTGTCCTGAGGGACATTGCGAAGGAAGCGGATCACGCTGCTGAAGATGGGGATTTCAGATGGCCACTTTCCTCCTCCTGAAGCTAATTCATTTCTCACACTGCCTGAGAGTTGTGTGGGGCTGGGACTGTGGGTGAGGGGTCCAACTTTCCATCTTAGCGTCTCTATGTGTGAGGTAGTCTGCCCACCGGCTGCAAAACACCTTGTCTGCCAGCGCAACAGTAGTGGCGAATAATCCGGTGACACGGCTCGGTGTTAGGAGGCATTTGGAGTTTGTGCCGAACTGCCAAGTTCTGAGCTGGATCAACATTTTCCTACTGTATGAAATCAGAGCACGGCCCTCAATGGTTCCAGAGGTCTCTATCCTACCAGTCCTGCTTCCTTATCAAAGCTGCATCGATTAGCACTGGATGGTGTGTTGTATGACCAGGGGAACTTTTCAGAGATTAGGAACAGACAATCCTATTGTGGTTACTCCTAGTTTCTCATTTTTCCAATCTCAGGTTCAGATCTCCACGTTTCCACAGTTTGTGATCTTTTTTTTCTTTTTAATTCCTCAGGAAAACTCACCAGCATTTTAGTGTGAAGTTCTCCTAAAACACATTTGTATACAATTTTGCCAAATAATACCTATTCCTCCCTCCGAAGGAATACCTCCCAGATGTTTGGAAAGGTGATTCAAGTTTTTTTTTTAATCTATTGTTATTTTAACTTTTCAGAAGTCTTAAATTACTGTTGCCAATTTTTCTCATTGATAATTTTTTTGTTCAATTTTTTTTGTAAACTGTTTTGAGGTTGTTTTCTTTTCTTTTTTTACAATCAAGCAGTGTATCATTTTCATGACATTAATTAATCAGTGATATAACACATTTTTGCATGTCATTTTGCCCCTGTATATACACATTTGTTACTCAGCTGGAGAATGCATTGCAAAATTTGGAGAAGTGTGAATTACGAAGGATTGCTGTGTTCGTGTATTGTTGCAGAAAGTGTGAATGATGTAGGTTTGTCTTTAAATGTGCGCTGAATCAAATCCCTCCCCCATCCCTACCTGAAATTGGACCTCTCTTTGCTTCTCCTAGTTTTAGCATAATTTAATAAACTCACTGTGTCACGTTGCCTGTGCCAACATGACTTAGTAAGTTCATTAAAATAGGACATGCTTTTAACATCCCAGTTCTCAAACTGAAGGATCTTTCCCCAAGAGCTTTCTGCTGCCAACTATTACACATTGTTGAAGGCTCTATTCTAGTGCTGGTATGTGTTGCATCCCCCTGCTTTGCAATTGGTCTCCCATGAGTTTAATAGCCAGGTAGGGATCTGTTCTTTCAGTTAGGGAGGGACACAGTATTGCCTTAACAATAGGTTTTCAATATATTCCAGGGTGGATGGGTGTGAAGTGGCAGGCTCTGTGATCCATGAGGACCTTCCTGTTCTTCCATTCTAGAGACAAGAGATCCCAAGAGAGGCGGAGCCTGCCAAATTGCAACTCACCTGATTCAGCTAGATGGGCGGAATATATTATTATTATTATTCACCCCAACAATGGGCATCCCCAAAAGGCAAAAAAAGAGAGATCCAGTTTTACCAAGAATAGAAATCAGAACAGATGAACAGTTGGCACAACTTATCACTTCTGTGAAGGAGATGTGGCATGATACACTATATATTAATTCTGATTTTCCTCTAGACCAGCCTTTCTCAGCCTGTGGGTCCCCAGATGTTGTTGAACTACAACTCCCTTCACCTCTAGCTATCAAGGCCAGAGCTCAGGGATGATGGGAGTTGTAGCCCAGCAACATCTGAGGACCCACAGGTTGAGAAAGGCTGCTCTAGACCATAAGTGTAGCCGTGTTGCCCAGTTCAGAGCCATGCATGAGTAGAAAATTGTCAAGAAAGGTCCTAGCCCACATAGCTGCAGTATTACATTTCTGCTCGTTTTTCATCCAGACTTCCAGAAGTGGCTTTTACGTCATGTGATAAATCACATAAAATGTGGGCATTTTAGAAAATGGAACGAAGTGCTATCCAAATGCAGCCCAGCTCAGTCAGTAGAGACTCTTGATCTCTGGGTTCTGGGCTCCAGCCCCACCTTGGACGAAAGATTCCTGCACTGCAGGAGGTTGGGCTAGAGGATCCTTGTGGTCCCTTCCAACCCTACAATTCTATGATTCTATAGTAGTGCCTACACTGACTGCCAGAGGCTCTTCAGGATTTCAGGCAGGGTTCTCTCCCAGCCCTACCTGGAGATGCCACTGGGGATAGAACCTGGAGCCTTCTGCATGCCAAGCAGATGCTCCACTACTGAGGCATGGCCCTTCACCTGATAGAAATGTGCAGGACTCTGTCCCACGTGTATAAATGAAAACTAGCAAACTCTGTTTCTATTGTTGTTAAGCAGCCTGCCTAAGATCCAGAAGAGGTCTTTCCGTTTACTTTTCTGCCATGAATAACAGCCAGTGTGTCCCTGGGGGTGGGATCTCACTTAAAGTATTTTGTGACTCTCTTATTTGCCTTGCTTTAAACAATGTTTACGTCTAGCAGACAGTCCTCCCAACTCTTTCAGTTGCCAGTTTCATGTGGGCAAAGACAACAGCTTCATTATCTTTGATCGATGCCCGCAAGCTGATGTTTCCCTGTCTCCAGTGGATTCCCTCTGGTAAACATGACATTGCGGGCATAGCCAACATCCTTAACTAATGTCTACTCTTGTGCAAGACTAGGAGGCACAGATGTTGGGGGAAGTCACTCAGAAACGGGAGCTGAAATTGCTGTGATTTGCATCTTTGCCTGGAAATCATGCAAGTGAATGCTTATGCAAATCACTGTATTAGCTTTTTTTTAGTTTGCAACATGTTGCATAAATAATTACATTATTTTTACATTGCTGTTGACATTTGCATTTTATTGAAATGCATTGAAATCGACCCCATAATTAACTGAGTAATTGAATAGCTTAGTTTTGACCATAGTGTATCTTGTTGTTGCTGTTTAGTTGTTTAGTCGTGTCCGACTCTTCGTGACCCCATGGACCAGAGCACGCCAGGCACTCCTGTCTTCCACTGCCTCCCGCAGTTTGGTCAAACTCATGCTGGTAGCTTCGAGAACACTGTCCAATCATCTGGTCCTCTGTCGTCCCCTTCTCCTTGTGCCCTCCATCTTTCCCAACATCAGGGTCTTTTCCAGGGAGTCTTCTCATGAGGTGGCCAAAGTATTGGAGCCTCAGCTTCATGATCTGTCCTTCCATACATCATTACTGGGGAAACCGTATAGCGAGACAAATAATATAGGTTTTAGTGGAAACTGAACTGTAGCAAAATGGAAACAGTACTGATTGCAATGAATACTGCAATTAGTGGGGAGGATTGTCTGCTTATATCCCTATTAATGGCCATTAAAAACCTTCACTCTCCATTGCACATAAATCAAGCTGCTGATAAATGCATAGGAGCAGTTGGGGCTTCTCTGGTTGTTGGACAACTTTAGGTGCTGCTGCAATGAGTTATAGGAGAACAAAAGGGGAGTCATTACAGTTGCATCATCTATTGTCTTTTCCAGCATGATTTATGAAAATAAATGGAGGGTGACAATTTGACCCACCTTCATTTTCTCTGGAACACATTCACACAGCTGAGCTTCATGATCAGCAGACTCATTGGAAGTAACTGTTGCTGGAATGTACCACACCAGATTTCAGCTTGGGGTGGGATCTCCTGTTTGATTGTTCATTTTATAGTAAAAACAAAACACGATGGAAGAAGTGCCCACTTAACTGCTTCGAAACAAATGTTTTAATAATGTTCTTCACACGCCTGTCATAAATTGATATTTTAGTGTGGCGGCACCTGATTTCAGTAGAAGGTGTTGCCTGAAGCAAATGATGAAACTGTCATTGAGATTCAAACCAGGTTTAACCCAATCCTGGGCTAAGCTCCTGCAGAATATGGTTCCATTGCCAAAAATAAGGTGCAACCTCCCTCCACTCTCCACCCAAGAGATGAGTTTCATTATGGGAGAAAGGTGGGATATGTAAAACTAAGTGTGAAATCGTTAAGTGTCTGTCAAGCTGGATTTCATGTAAGGGCTGACCTAAGGTATTTTTCCGGCTGAGTTGAAAGACAAGATGGTGGCTCCCATCCCACATTCTTAAGCCAACTGGGCTGGTCATTGATTCTGTCTTCAGCACTGGTGGTGGGACAGCATCTTCCACCACAGGCTTCCACAAACTCGGCCCTCCAGATGTTTTGGGACTACAATTCCCATCATCCCTGACCACTGGTCCTGCTAGCTAGGGATCATGGGAGTTGTAGGGCCGAGTTTGAGGAAGCCTGTTCCACCATCTCAGAGAGCAGAGGTCTCACCATATAGTGGACACCACTCCGTCTTCCATCACAAAGGAGTGTCAAGGGGGGCTCTGAAGCAATGGCTATGGTGGGGAGGCTGCTGCAACCACTACCTATCCACACCCCAGCATTTGCTGCCTGAGGTCACTGCCTCACTCCGCCTAATGATAAGACTGGTCCCAGTTATGAGTACAATAATAGAAAAATTGAACTAATTGCTAAATGGAAGCTTGTGGTGCTTTCTGCAGTAAGTAACACACTTCCTAGGTGGGGTGTGGCATGTCAGAGTCCCGTACTATGCCTCTGAAGTCTTGGGGCTGTGTGTTGCTTTTGAGTTTATTAAGAAGGCTCTGTGGGTCTTATGTTTTATTAATTTTTAACAGGGTATTATGTGCCTCCCCCAGCCCAGCCCTTTCGGCTGTTTATTTCAGAAATCATTCCCGAGGGGACAGCTCTGTTTTTGAGCTCTTGGATGCTAGACAGAATGACATCAGACAGAAACTTAAAGGGAAAAGGAGGGAGGCATAGATTTGCCCTTAAAAGCATTCACTGGCAAAATGTATTGAATGAAATGGAACATGGCGCCCAATATCAGCCAGTCAAGTGGTCAGGTGGGAAGGGAATGCGAAGGAACGCCTCAGTATGCAAGGTCTGAGGGTTGTTTCCAATGCTAGCCCTGCTCAGAGTATACCCATTGACATGAAAAGGCATGGCCAACTTACACCCTTTAATCTCAGTGGGTCTACTCTTGTGTAGGGGTTAACTGTGGACAACCCAGAACACCTGACACATAAATGCATTCACGAATCTTTGAAGCAGAGGGGGTTTAACAACCAACCCCTCTTTTGGGAACTGTAGCCCTGTGAGGGGAATAGGGAGGTCTCAGCACCCTTAACAAACTGCAATTTCAAGGAAGCCATAACTGCTAAAGTGGTAGAATGGTGCTTTAACTGTGCGGCGTTCTCTTCTACTAGCAGCCAGGCTCATAATAACCAGATACCGCAAGAATTAGGTGATGTGGGTGGCACTGTGGTCTAAACCACAGAGCCTAGGGCTTGCCGATCAGAAGGTCAGCGGTTCAAATCCCCGCAACGGGGTGAGCTCCCGTTGCTCGGTCCCAGCTCCTGCCAACCTAGCAGTTCGAAAGCACACCAGTGCAAGTAGATAAATAGGTACTGCTCTGGTGGGGAGGTAAATGGTGTTTCCATGCGCTGCTCTGGTTTCGGTGTTCCGTTGCGCCAGAAGTGGCTTAGTCATGCTGGCCACATGACTCGGAAAAAACTGTCTGCAGACAAATGCCGGCTCCCTCAGCTAGTAAAGTGAGATGAAAGCCACAACCCCAGAGTTGTCTGCGACTGGACTTAACGGTCAGGGGTCCTTTGTACCAGAAGAATTTAGAAGGTGCTTCCTTGGCAAATTGGCACAATAAAGTGTGACAAATAGTACTTGTAGAAAAATTAAATGACAAAAAGAAATTGTTGCAAAGCCTAAAACACAGAGATTTCTTTGTAATGGAATGGAACAGCTTTATTATATATGTGGCTAAAAATGAAAATGGAGGACTCCCCCCCCCCCAAGATAAAACATTTTGGTTAACACCAACTGTTTATCGCCTGCTGTACAAAAATAAGTTTGGGATAAGAACTTAGGTTATCTGCCTGTTATTGTGTATGTATTGCCTAAATACCAGCTTCTGGGTTAGGGTGCAATATTTCATTACTTATCCGTATAACATTGTTGTATGTTGAATTAAAAAGAAATGTCACGTGGATGTGGCCTATGTTTCACAATTCATCCATTCTGAAATTCGTTACCTCATGCTATGGCAGGTGTGGGGAGTATCACTCTCCTGAAGTTGTTGGACTCCAACTCCCATAATCCTCTGACCACTGACGATGCTACCTGGGGCTGATGGGAGCTGGAGTCCAACAGTGTCTTGAGGGCCCTCACAGGTTCTCTTCTCCTGTGCCATGGGGATAAAAAGAAACTCATTTTATTTCACTGTTCCCAGTCTGATTTTCCAGGACATTTCAGCAATTTCCCCCCGGACACTGCTTCCGACTGCCATATTCTGGCAATGTCAGGAAAATTCCAGACATTTGTTGTTTAGTCGTTTAGTCGTGTCCGACTCTTCGTGACCCCATGGACCAGAGCATGCCAGGCACTCCTGTCTTCCACTGCCTCCCGCAGTTTGGTCAAACTCATGCTGGTAGCTTCGAGAACACTGTCCAACCATCTCATCCTCTGTCGTCCCCTTCTCCTTGTGCCCTCCATCTTTCCCAACTTCAGGGTCTTTTCCAGGAGTCTTCTCTTCTCATGAGGTGGCCAAAGTATTGGAGCCTCAGCTTCAGGATCTGTCCTTCCAGTGAGCACTCAGGGCTGATTTCCTTAAGAATGGAAAGGTTTGATCTTCTTGCAGTCCATGGGACTCTCAAGAGTCTCCTCCAGCGCCATAATTCAAAGGCATCAATTCTTCGGCGATCAGCCTTCTTTATGGTCCAGCTCTCACTTCCATACATCACTACAGTGGTACCTCGGGTTACATATGCTTCAGGTTACAGACTCCACTAACCCAGAAATAGTGCTTCAGGTTAAGAACTTTGCTTCAGGATGAGAACGGAAATCGTGCTCCGGTGGCGTGGCAGCAGCAGGAGGCCCCATTAGCTAAAGTGGTGCTTCAGGTTAAGAACAGTTTCAGGTTAAGAACGGACCTCCGGAAAGAATTAAGTACTTAACCGGAGGTACCACTGTACAGGGAAAACCATAGCTTTTACTATACGGACCTTTGCTGGCAAGGTGATGTCTCTTAAAAATGTCTAAACATTCCAGTTTCTGGGAAGACAAAATGGCTACTGGAGGTAGCCATGCTTCTGAATGCCAGTTGCTGGAAGCCAGAGGAGGAGAGACTTGCTCTTGTGCTCAGCTCCTGCTTGTGGGTTTCTCACAATAGGCATCTGGTTGGCCACAGTGAGAACAGGATG